TCAGGCATCCCATTCAGAGACTACTCTGGCCCCAGGAGCTCGACTGTCAATCTCCTGAATTTTTGGAAGCAAGGAACCAGATGAGCTTAGTTAACACGACATATGATTACTGTATGTCCGAGTACATGGCATTGAAATTGCGTTGTACCATTGAAAACACAGGCCCTCGAAACACAGGCGTCTAGTGCGGAATCCTGGGCACCCCTCGCACGCCTTCTAAGTCAAACCGCGGGCGTCGTGGATGAGCAGGTCCCGGAGTAGGGGAATGAGCGTTCCCCCGGGGAGCGGGGCGCCTTCCTCATGCAGCAGAACCCCCCAGCCCGGCTGTCCCCGCGGACACGCGCCGGCGTGGGTGCGTTTAAACCACGCTCCAGGCGACGAGGAACGCGCCCTAAACTCGCGCTCCGTCCGGGAAGAGGCAGGGGTGGGGACGACGTTTCTGCAGTACGGTTCTACGTTGCTAGCAAACTTTTTACATTTTCAGGTTAGCCCTTTTAATGTTATTTGAATGTAAAATGTTCTCTAAATTCAAAAAGTCTCTGCGCTGCACTCTAAGTTGTATTAATATTTATTATATTTACTCGTGAATCCTGAAAATAACCCACTTCGAAGTTACGTTAAAGAAAATGGAGGGCTCGTCCGGGATTTGAACCCGGGACCTCTCGCACCCTAAGCGAGAATCATACCCCTAGACCAACGAGCCGACGCACTTGGTGCCTTCCTGCCATTATAAAGGAATGTTGAGCTACTGAGTCCTGCGCCTCCAAGTGGTTGTTTCTATGTTGTTTTTATATCCTCCGGTTGTGTTTGCGTTCTGTGGATAGTTTTCAATTTTCTTTCTTTTCTGTGTTGCTTTTTGAAAATCAGTAACACAGAAGGAAGCAGCCGTTTCATTACCAGTGTAATATTGACCTCATTTCGAAAACCGTAATTCTTCTGTTCATCTTCATAGCTAATAAATTGCAGTGAGTGTGCGGCAATGTCGCTGCGGCAGTTTCCAGGCTCTCTCCCTTTTACTAAGTTCTGGGTGTCGCTTTCGTCCTCTTCCGCATTTTCAATAATGGCAAAAGTGGCTGTTTCTTGTCGGTATTTTTTTATTCCAGTGTTCAAAGCCCCACCTTTCTAGCCTTGTGAATTCCCGTCTGTGTGTTTTTACCCAAGCTGTTCTCTTCACCTGGAAAACCTATTTGCTTTTGGATAAATCCCAAACTCTGACCTTCCCAGAAAAGGATCCTTTCTTGCAGCGCAAGACACCTACACCAATACCAAATTCTACGGTATAATTGGCAACGGAGTTGTATAATTGCCGCCCAATTGTTCCAATATGTTTAATTAGATAAAGAAGGCATGGCTTCTTAATTATATTTTAAATACTTAGTATTGAGGCTTACCATAGCAAAGCTGGTGCTCAATGGATAGTTCTGAATAACCACAATTTGTCCCAAATTCCTTTACAATACAAATGTTGGTACTTTGACAAAATAGACTGCATGACTATCCTAAATAGACCCATTCATTTCATCTCGTATGTCATTCATGCATTCACTAGTTTATTCATTCCTTCATTGCTCATTCTTCAACAAACATTTATCAAGTATTAATACTACGTGCAATGAACTGCCAACTTTCTTCCCACGGTTTGACACCAGAAGATTATAGTTTTGGAGCTCTAACGTTGTCTCCCTCTTTCTTTTGTTTTATTTGAAACTGCCCTAACTTGACTCTTCAGTTCTTCTTAGGGCTCAAGGCAACAAGAATCAGAATACCCTTTAATCTCTCTGGGAGGCCGAGGCGGGCGGATTGCTCAAGGTCAGGAGTTCGAAACCAGCCTGAGCAAGAGCGAGACCCCCGTCTCTACTATAAATAGAAAGAAATTAATTGGCCAACGAATATATATAGAAAAAATTAGCCGGGCATGTGGCGCATGCCTGTAGTCCCAGCTACTCGGGAGGCTGAGGCAGCAGGATCGCTTGAGCCCAGGAGTTTGAGGTTGCTGTGAGCTAGGCTGACACCATGGCACTCTCTAGCCAACAAAGCGAGACTCTTGTCTCAAAAAAAAAGAAAAGAAAAGAAAAAAGAAAGAAAGAAAGAAAGAATACCCTTTAAAATATTAATAAGTTCTAGATGCCAGGCCATCAAAACCGAACTGGAAAAAAATGTGCCCTGGACACCTAACATACTCTCCCCAAAATATAACTCATTAGGTAAAATGATGTAACCACTTCAGATTTCTGAAAGCCTCACTCTCAAATTAAAAGGTCTCTATGCTCTCCTTTCTCACTTGAAAGTACTGTAGCTATTATCATTTTAGGTTTGTGTTTTTTTCTCTTTTTTTGTTTTTTGGGTTTTGTTTCTTTGTTTTTACTTCTACTTCTCTCTAGTGATTGAAACTGAGTTTGTCTTTCACTCCGCAGACTAGGCACTAGCCTAGAGTATCTCATTTGCCCCTCACAACAATGATGCAGGAAGACTGATAGTAACAAAACTCAGAATATCAATTGCCTAATTTACAGTGGGAACGATCTCTATCTTGGTAGAAGGAATGCCTGTGACATCTGTCCAAGGCACTTCGTTCCTTAGAATTAGGTCCTTGTAAAGCAGACATAGTACATAGGTGGTTGCAAGGCACAGGGAGACAGAGAATCTTAAGGAAATTTTTATCCTGGCTACAGTAAATGAAGAAGCCTGGTGACATATCCTTCTCCTATAAGAATTAGCATCTCCCCAAGTACCCTATTACTCTTTTTCCACCCATTTAGTGTCCCTGTGCCCAGGGGAGGGAGGCACTAGAACTCTAATTTTCAGATTTTCAAAATTTTCCAGCAAAAATGCTTCTCCTGGATTAAGATATATTTTTCTGCAGAATTGTTAATGAAATTGATTTGACTTCAGGCAAGTCTTTCTGAGGGTGACCTGGGATTCATCTTTGACTGTATCTGATTGTCGTCCATTGAGTCAAAGTCTCAGTGTTCCTGGAATGTCTTGCTATCACCACCCACAGATCACAACATTCCAATTTTCCTCTGGCAACAGATCTTAAAGACAAGGATAGACAGGCTAGAAATTGAGACTCTTCTCTTGATTATACTTTCCAACCAGTTTATACCCAGCCCTGTCATTCTTTTTCTGAAATCTCTCAAATCTTTGTCTTCCTCTTCACTCCCACTGCTAATACCTTACTTTGTGCTCTCTTCACTCTTGCCCTGTTTCAGTGGCTACTTTTTAAAAACACAAATCCAGATTTATCTCTCTCCACTGCCTATGGAATAAAGACAACTCAAGGTTCTTCAAAATATGACCACAGCCTACTTTTCTAGCATTCTCTCTTTCCCTTCTTTCCCTCACTCCCCTGAAGTTCCAAACTACACAAGATTTACCTGCTGGTTCTCACACCTGGTAGATGTTTTCCTGTTTCTCTAAGTTTGCCTTTTCTATTTCTCCCTGTTAAACTTCTATTCATTCTTTAAAATCCACCTCAAATGGTACATCTTCTGTGAATCTTCCCCAGATGCCTCTTGGGCCAGGGGTTTCTGGGAGAGTTTTATGTGTTTGGTGAGGTGTGTCACAATCAGCAGAGAAGCTTGTAACACTAAATGTGTCTGAGAACTACTGCCCCTGTTGGCTTTGGGCTTCTCCTTTATTCACTCTTTAAGTCTTTTAAAAAAATTTAATTTAGTACTTCTTTGTCTACATTGGTAGACTATCTATTGCTTGAAAGTCACAGTTCAACAAATGCATTCATTGGTGTCCTTTCCAACCTATGGCATTCCAGACACACTAAAGGATCTTGCTGACAGAAATAGGGCAAAATGGTTCTGGTATGCTGTTTTAGTCTTCTCTCACTAATGTCACAGTAATTTACTATGAGTTTGCTGTGCTACAAGGCTAGTAGGCTAAAACAGCAAAGCTACCAGGAAGGGTGTTGATAAGATTAACTTTAGTCAAAACCCTGAAGTGAGAGGTTGCCTTTTGGGTCCTCTAATCACACTCTTCCTCCTCTCTTGTCCTAATTGTCTAAAACTTGTTTCCCTCCCTCCCTGTATCGGCCGCCCACCTGAATCTCCCTTTTCTTTTTTCACACTCTTCTTTCTTGTGTGCGCGTCCCTCCATTTTTCCCTTTTGTAGGCTATTTTCATAAGGATCCTTCCAAATACTCTTTTGGTATTTATTGGGCAACCACTGTGTGGCAGACTGTTCTGGCACAAGGTAGCCAAGAGTTGAGCAGGGTCAGCTAAATGCACTTAGGAATCAGGGTGAGGAACTTACCCCCTCCCAATTTTTAGTGACAGAGAGAGGGAAACGTGGACATGCAAAAAGCAAAACAAACAAAAAGCACATTCATTTGTGTTCTAGGTAGTAAGAGAGAGTTCCAATTTCCCACCCCTTCTCAAGCCAAAAGGGGGGTTTCTAAGAGGAAGTTAAGGCAAGATAGAGACTTCTTTTTTAAACTAGCAGATTTCTCAAATTGCAACCCATAACTTATCTAGTCCAGGCAAAGGACAGGCCCTGGGGACAGGACAAGGGGGACATGTGTCCACCTGGACAACTGAATCAGAAGTCTCTTCCCATCTGTCGAACTCCTCTTTTTTCCCTGTTTTTTTTTTTTTTAAGGTAAATGAACTGCTTCTATTTCGTTAGGCGTGGCCGGGAGAAATCCAGAAGAGCTGAAACAGAGGCGCGGTCAGCACCCGGGAAAGACCAGTGGCGAGAAAGACAATGAAGAGGACTGTGGGGCTGACCCCGAGAGGCAGAGAAGGCGCAGGCGGGCGGACAGCCACGCAGGCAGGCAGAGGGCTCGGCCGCGACCGCCCCGGCCGGCGGGGACTCGGCCTCCAGCTCGGGGCTGAGGCGCTGGGGTGGGACCGAGAGGGCGGGGCCCCACCCCAAGGCCGGTGATGGACACTCGGGCTATCCAATTGCGTTCCTCAGAGGGCGCTGGGCAGGCCAATGAGCGCGCGCCTGGGGCCGGCGCGGGGCTGAGGCTGGGCGGAGAGCTGGCGAGCCGCGGCTGGGGCCGGGAGTGGGGAGCGCGGCGTGGAGCTGCTGCCCGGCGCGGGGCTGCGAGCTCGGCGCCCTCTGCTCCGGACGAGCCAACCTCAGTGCGGACCGGGGCCCAGGGCGTGGCGGCGGCAGCGGCGGCTGCAGCGGGAGAACGATGGCAGCGCCCGCGGGAGCCGGGGCAGCGATTGCAGCCCCAGACCGCAGGCGCTGGCTGTGGTCGGTGCTGGCGGCGGCGCTCGGGCTCTGTGAGTGATGCGGGGCCGGGGCGGGGGCTCCCGGGGCCGGCACACGCCCCTCGCGGCGGTCGCGGGCCTGGCGCGCGCGGGGGGCGCCGAGGAGGGGAGGGGGCGCGGCCTGCGCGCCCTGGGGCCGAGGGCACCGGTGGGGAGGGCGGGCCCCAGCGACTGCCGGGGAGGCGCAGCGCCTTTCTTCTTCCTGGATCCCCGGCTGTGGAGGAGGAGGGGAGCTCCCTACCTTGCTCCCTGTCGGGGGCCGTCGGGGGCCGCGGCCCGGCGGGCGGCTGCGTTACGCCACGCAGCGTCCCCTGCCACTCCTCACGGTGACTCGCCCAGGCCCTCCCGGGATTCTGACTCAGGAGCCAGGGTTCTGGCGTCCTCCACCTTGGGGAGGTGGCGGAAGGTTGCAGGTTTTTCCTATGTGGGGCCTTTGTTGGTTTGCTTCTCCGTTTTAAGCCTGTGTTTTGTTTTTACCTTCTTAGTTCTATTTCCAGTGCCCTCAAATCCATTTTTAACCCTAAGTGATAGAAGAGTCCTTAAATCTCATTTGCCTCGTCTCTGTGGTCTGCAGAGCACCAAGAAAAAAAAAAAAATTGTTTCTTCTGGGTTAGAATGCAAAGAGCTAGGAATGCCAGTGAGATGACCAGGCTTAAAAGAATTTTATCAAATCCATAATAATTCCAGACATACCTACCGTAATTTTAACAAGACAGAACATTGAAAAGCATAATTTTCCTAACGGAAAAAAAAATCTCTTTTTTTCCCTCACGAAATTTCATGGCTCAAGCTTAAAGTAAACCTCAGGCTCTGTGTATGTGAATTGGTTGAGTTGTTTTATGAACATCTGAAGTGGTGTCTGCCACAGGACTTTTTTTGTGTGTTGTTCTTCAAAGCAAAGTACTTATTGGTGTCTCAGAATTGGTTAAGTATTGGTTATAAAGAGAGCCAGCTGCTCAGAAACCACATAGGTATTTTCATTTCTTTTTGTTTTCAAAATGTCAGTTGCATCACAGTATCTGAATCTGAATACCAGAGTTTACTCAGTAGTTTCTTTCATGGAAAAGTTCTGAATGTAATCTTCTGGAACCAGAGAAAATAGGTGAAGTTCTGTTGGATCACCAACTGTTCCATTTAACCAATGATTACAAGGGCTATAAAATATAAAGTAAAATCCTCCCACCCTCCAGAGGTTGACAGATGAAGGCATACTTTTGACATGTGACATAATCCATTCTGTATTAATGTCTCTTCTGAGAAAAAAAGTTCAAAAGATTTTTTTTTTGGTTGTAGGTGGTATTTGTGTTTAATCAAACAAGTAGGAAATAGCCTAAAACTAAGATTTATCTGCAATTTTGTGTGTTCAGACAGAATTATTATGCATGAAAAGTCATTCATTGCTATGGAGAACAAAAGAACTGAAAAACTAAATATTAATGAAAAGATCACCAGAGTAATAGCCACATATACCTTGGGCGTACTTTTTCAGTAATGAAGACAAAGGCTGATATGTGAAAGTCAGCCACTGAGTTTATTGGTTAATTTTAGAAAATTATTAAATGTTTCTTCTCGCCAAGTTGCCTTTTCCTGGTCATGGATACTGCACATAAGAATTTATGTTTTACAGAAAAGCATAAGTTTGATCCAGACAGTTATTTAGCAGACATTTACTAAGCACCTTATAAGTGTTAAGTGCTAAACTATTTTAGAAAGGATAGTCTTCATCCTCAAGTAATTTACAGTTCAATGGAAGAAACACAGTGTGATAAGTATTATAAGAAGTCTTTTTTCTTTCTTTTTTTTTTGAGTTGTGGTGTCACTGTGTTGCTCTGGCTAAACTCAAACTTTCAAACTCCTGGGCTCAAGCAATCCTTAGCTTCAGCCTCCCAAGCAGCTAAAACTGCAGGGGTAGAAACTTTTAAAAATTTTTTTAGGGACAGGATCTCGCTCTGTCACTCAGGCTGGAGTGCAGTGGTGCATGCAGTCGTAGCTCACTGTAACTTCAAACTCCTGGGCTCCAGCAATCCACTTGCCTCAGAGTAGCTCCTGGGCTCCAGCAATCCTCTTGCCTCCCAAGTAGCTAAGACTACAGGCACATGCCACCACAATTGGCCTAGGAGCCTTTTAATAAGGGTGTGCTGTGAGAGCTTGAAGAAGGGTCATCTCAGACCGAAGTTCACGATACTATAGGAAGGGATGTTTCAACTGAGTAGGCACTGGGGAAGGAAACAGTACATACAGAGCTGTGAATGAACCTGTTGGTAGTTCGGTGTGGTGGGAGGTTGAAGAGTATAAGGGAGACGGTGGGAGTTGAGGCAGGAGAGCCAGCCAGGGGCACCGATTACAAAGGACCTTGTCTGCCACACTTAAACCCAATGAAGGATTTCTCTGTCTTTTGAGATGTGAAGGGTGGGTTACAGTGGGGTGAGTCTGAAGCCAGAGAAACCAGAGGGCCATTGTAATACTCTAGGGGAGGATGATGAAGACCTGAAATAAAGCAGCGAGCTGTGAAGAGGGATATTCATAAGCTAGTTAGAAAATACATTTGATACCACTTTGTTGAGTTTATGTTAAAAAAAAAAGTAAATTTGATAGGGCTTGGAAACTGATTTGATGTGGGCTTGAAAGACAAGGTGTATATAATGATTCATAGGTTTGGGGCTTGGGAAGCTGGGTATATTTTTGGAAGGTGAGGCTTTTCACAGATAGGGGGATAGGAGCATTGCAGGAAAGAAGATGATGGAAGTACTTTTGGATATGTTGATATGCTGATGAGACATCCACCTGGAGATGGGCAGAAGACTGTTGGATAGATGATTCTGGAGGTGAGGAGAAAGTTCTGGTTGGAAATTCAGATTTGAGAGCGTTTATGTGCCTAATAGTTAAAGCTTGGATTGCTTGAATACAGTCATCAAGGGAAAATGTATTGAAGGACATAACAGAGGGCCAAGGACAGAGTTCTGAGGTATATGGAACCTGAGAAAGAGTCTCGCAGAGTAAGAGAAAAACCAAGAGAGAATGAACTTGGGTATTTTTTTTGTTTTGTTTTAAAAGATGGGGCCTCACTCTGTCACCCATCATAGCTCACTGAAGACTTGAACTCCTGGGCTCAAGTGATCTTCCCACTTCAATCTCCTGGGTAACTGGAACTGCAGGTGTGCACCATCATGCCAGCTATTTTTTTACTTTTTGTAGAGATGGGGGTCTTGCTATGTTGCCCAGGCTGATCTCAGATTCCCACCTTGGCCTCTCAAAGTGCTGGGATTACAAGCCCGCCTGGCCAGAATGAAGTTTTAAGAAAGAGGAAATGGTTAATGTGGTCAGATAAAGAGAGATGTACTGAGGATTCACTGAATTTAGCAATCGAAAAATGTCTTTGGTAACCCTTAGGAAGGAATGAGCACACAGTATATGGAGAATAAATCTCACTAATTTCTACCTCCCATTTCAGTAAATGGCACCACCATAGATCTAATTGCTCATCCCAGAAACCTGGGGTCCATCCTTGATTCTTTCCTATCCTTCATCCCCCCACATCCAATCAATCAGTTCTCCCATCTCCAAAATGCATCTGGAATTGATCTTTTTTTGCTATCTCCACTCATAGCCTTTTACTCAAAGTCACTGTCATTTCTTGCCCCCCAGACTGGCCTTCCCCTTTTCTCCCTCTTGGTTATTTTTCATCCATTCTTCGTACACTACAAGAATGATTTTTGTTAAAATGCAGAGGAGATCATGTTGCTTTCTTGTTTAAAGTCCTTAATGGCTTCCCATTACACTTGGAATGAAATCTGAACTTTTCCCCATGGCCTGCAAAACTCTTTGTGATCTGGTTTCTGCCAATCATTATGAGTTCAACTTGTGCCACTTGCCTCCTTGCTCATCATTTTCAAGCCACATTGCCATCTTTCTGCTCTTTGACACCCATCACCACTTCAGGTCCTTTGCACTTGCTGTTCTGGTATGCTCTTTCCCCAGAACTGCCCAGAAGGGCTGGCTCCTTTTCATCTCTAAGGCCTTGATGAGTCACTTCTTCATAAAGGCCTTCTCCTACCACCTTATCCCAGGGGAGTTCCCAGTTACTATTTGCTGGGCTTTTGTTTATATCCTTATTGTAATTTATAACTATTTGGTTTTTCTTCTCTTTTTTTCTCCGTCAGTATTTAGGACAGAGATAGCCATCTGTCTTGTTCATAGAAGTATCCCTAGGGCTTAGGATAGTGAGTATGATAGACGCTAATAAATATTTGTTAAATGGCAATGAGACATAGGCATGTCTTGACAATAATTTGTTAGCAGTTTGCAATATGTAGTTAATATTTAGCATGGCACATAGGTACTCATAAACATTCATTGAAAGGATTTTTTTCTAAGTATGATTTCATGCATTATCTGATTATTTTTCATTATCAGTTTTCTCAGCCTTTTATTTATTAACTAGTTGACATAGTCAGATGGAAACTTAATCTTTTAAAAATATATGTATATTCTATGACTTGTTTTTTTTTTTTTTTTTTGAGACAGAGTCTCACTTTGTTTTCCAGGCTAGAGTGAGTGCCGTGGCGTCAGCCTAGCTCACAGCAACCTCAAACTCCTGGGCTCAAGCGATCCTCCTGCCTCAGCCTCCCGAGTAGCTGGGACTACAGGCATGCACCACCATGCCTGGCTAATTTTTTTATATATATATCAGTTGGCCAATTAATTTCTTTCTATTTATAGTAGAGACGGGGTCTCGCTCTTGCTCAGGCTGGTTTTGAACTCCTGACCTTGAGCAATCCGCCCGCCTCGGCCTCCCAAGAGCTAGGATTACAGGCGTGAGCCACAGCGCCCGGCCTCTACGACTTGTTTTTACCACAACTCAGGATATTCATTAGGCTCGATGCTGCCAAAAGAAGAAATAAAGAGAAATATTAAGTGAAAGACAGCTATAAGTGAAAGCACATAAAATGCAAATTCGTGTTTCACAAAGTCTTTATTCACTTATTCAACTAAATGAGCACCTATTGGGCACC